CCTCTACCCCTCCTAACTCCTGTTTCTGCCTCTAATATGTCTCTGACTAGACCTTCATGCCTGAGAAGGTGTCCTACCAATCTATCTCGCCTATTTTTTATTGACTTCCATAGAGTCCTCTGTTCTCCTATTCTTTTCAATACCTCTTCATTTCTAACCTTTTCTACCTACGTTATCCTCATCATCCGCCTATAACACCACATTTGGAACGCTTCTAACCTGATGAACCAGACACCTACAAACAATTATAACCACTCTAAAGAAGTTCAACTTAAAAAAAAAGACAATTTTCGCAAGTGCACTTCAGCTATGCTTTTCACTAATTTTCCGTTGTTTCTATTGGCCCTCTTCTTTGCCTCTTCTTAAATAACACGTAAGTAGGCTTTTGTCAACTGAAAGATAATCTATTGTTCTAGTCACCGATTTACGCTATATGTGGTCTTGAATTGCAGTTTTATACACATAAAAGTAATTATCAAAATGCTCTGGCTTTCGTGTATAAGTAGAGTTTCATGTTAACTTGACATGCAACAACACAGTTTTCACCGACATTAAGTTGTAAGAAAAGTGATTTGTTTGTATGTAGTGAAAAACTGACGAAATTGTTGAATATACTAGGTAAGACTTAATTTATATACCCTAAATAGTATTAAAGAAAGAAAATTTAATTTAGTCACAGAATACATGCCAACCCAAAAACCGTAACGCTTTAACATCATATTTTGTGAAAGTTCCGAGAATAATTGGTTATAAAGAACACTTATGTTGTCAGGAAGTAATCAGTTTTGGCAAAAATTATGTGATATATAGTGCACGTTTGTCAATTTTGCATTTGTTTGATCACACTGAAGAATATTCGTGATTATTTGGTGGAGACATCAACAGTGCGTCAAGCGACGAACCTTGAACATACGAATTCGAACACCTGCGGTTACATCTTTGAATTAATCAAAGTAACGCAGTTAACAAGTTAATTAATTATTTATTTAGTTGTATAAGAACGTAAAGTGAATATATGGAAGTTAAAGATGGTTTAAAATTTAAATTTACAAATCAACTTAATCAATTGCAAATGAGTATTTTCAAAAATATCGATTCGTTTTTTAAATTAGTTTTTAATACGAATCGTCTAATAAATGTTTTTAACTTTTACCACCTAATAATTTTAAAAATGACATAATTATCTCAAAAACTCTTTGTACTTATGAGAGAAAGTCTTTTTTCTCATACTTTTGCGTAAAATGATCATCACATTAGGTGCTGAAATTTGCTTTTCACTGTTTATTATAGAAAACCTTCATAAAAACATTCAACAGATTTAACGAATTCTACACGATTGAAACAACTTGTTTTTAATAATTCATCTTTTGACAAACATAGGTGATCCACTACTGAATCTTAATTACAATTAATCACAAATTAATCGGTCTGGTAAAGAAGTATAGTTAATAAAACAGAAGTTTGGTTTGTTGCATTTTATTTTTATAAATATAAACACCTTTCCATTGTTAGTATTTGTATAGAAATTGTTTATTAATACAAAAATACGTATGGCTACATTCACGATCAGTCTCTATTGTAGGTATACATTGATTTTTCAAAAATATAGGTCAGTTTAACAATTTATTTTTCTTTGAAAAGTTAACTGATGAAATTCAATAAATGATGCCACGAATTCTTTATAAAACAGTTAAAATACTTCTATAATTGATTTTAATTTATAAAGACACCATGTAAAAAAATAGTTTGTATGAAATAAGCGATCAAAGTACAGTAACGAAAGTTTCTAAGAACATTTGGATATAAACTATCATAGACTCGTTTAAAGAAAATAGAAATGTACCTTAAAAAATAAAAGATGAACATACATTAATATAAATGGAATAAATAGCACATTAAATACATATACATTTATTTCACAATTAATATATTTTTTATATTGAATCGGTACTTCTGAAGAAACTAAGAAGGAAGGTAATAAAAATATGTTACATGCATTGATTTTCACATTTTTTCTCCTTACACTTGTTTCCCTAATATTATTGTAACGCATTTTTATCACTGGAATTACATTTCTTAAGTGCTTCAGAAGAAATCAGTATTTTCTTTAAAACGAGTCTTACCATAGTCACAGTAAATCTAAAATATTATTATAGATATATTAAAAATAATAATAAATAAATAAATACTATAGTTTATAATTTCGAATACATACATTCATAAAAAGCAACTAACAAACATCACAAGAACTAACAGTACTTATATATGTATCATAATGAACACAACTGTATAAAAATTGGCAAAAACTCCATTAAGGTGCGTTTAGACCAAGCGAACAAGAACATAGAGCGCGAACAAGTCATTTATTAACGTTCGATCATGGTAAACTCATATGTCCCAATTTAATGGGATTGGGACCATAAGTGAGCGATGCCTAACGCTTAGACTACATTCATATCATACCAATAGAACTCTGACATTATAGATTCATGGTATGGTACGAAAAATTATTCGCTCGCTTAATCTAAACGCACCTTTAGACGATAAACCCTTGAGCACAGTGCTCGACTCTGTTATCAGGCGGTGGAAATCTGCAGCAATAACTCGATATTACTCCTGCAGATGCGAGGACAAGAGATAGAACCGATATGCCACACACTGCTCCTGAGGTCATATCGGCCAATGGAGTTCCTGGTTTTGGCTGCATGAACAGTAGTACCAGCAATCCGACGCACGTCAGTAAACTGAAAAGCGTTAGAATGATGTACCCTGAAAAAAAGAGAAGTTACAATCATTATCAAAAATTACTTCAGTTTAGCGTTAGTTCTTTATTTTAAAAGAAAATTTGCAAATATTTTTGAAATTACTTACCTATAGCACTTTCTCTAAACTATTTTTATTATTGTGATAAAAAAATATGATTTTGATGATCTCCTCCCTTATAGGGTTAATTTAAATAAAAAAAAACATTTAAAAAAATGATTATCTAAATTTACTTAATGGTTCTTCAACACACTATATTAAATAGTAAAGACAAAATAGATTTAGAAAATTAGTAAGTTTACAAATTAAACTGTAATTCATGTAATAAAATTTATATAGGACAGGCAGGACGTACCTTTAAAAGATTAATAAGTGAACACAAAAAACTTTTTTAAGTGTAAAAAAATAGATCCACATTATGCTAAACGTCTGACCGATGAAAAATTTAGTTTTAACGAAAATCAAGAAATCCTATATTATAAAAATAAAAATTATATACCTGACCTTACTGCTAAACCGCCCCCTTCCTAATAGTCTTAGCTACATAATATGTTATTTGTTATACTTCTGATGATGTCTTACTGTTAATGCGAAATAGATGTCAAGTATTTTAAAATAATTTATGAAAACATTGGTTTTTTATTAAAAATGGCCATAACAAAAAAGCTACGGCAAAGTCCTGTTAAACCGTAGTTTTTCTAAGATTTTTATTACCGCAAATATTGAAAACCTACCTGACATGTAATTCCTATTCGGAAGCCAGTAATAATAGTTTCGAGATCTGAATCCTAACAAGCCAAGTACGAAGCATGCAAATCCGGAAACGATCCCAAAATCCAGAAAGTACAACCGTCCCATTACGGAAATCATGTAGAAGCAAAGACCTGAAGCCAGACCTCCGCAAATGACCATCATGAGAGCTGCTGCTGCTAAAGTTGCATGAACAGGTTTTTTATGAATACTAACATTCATCCAGGATTCTGACCTGGTCGAGTACGTAGTTTCAGATTGAACAGGACTAGAACATATTGGGGTAACTATGGCTGTGTGTCTTTGGTCTTTGGTCATTTGTCTAGTGCTTAGAGCGTAATTGAGTTTCTGTTGAGCTTTCGGAGCTTTCCGTAGAGGTTTGTTATTGTTTAGAGGACTGAGCGATGTAATAAAGGGACTTTTGGTTACGGGAACGAGCTGGGGGAGATAGCTGAGTGTCTGATGAACTGGAGACATCCCCTGAGGTGTGTGAGAAGCGGAAGACGATCTTTGCGACGTCTTTTTTGGGGTTGAAAGAAGCTCGTGTAATTTCTGCGTGGCTACCGCATTACCACCTTTCCTAACGGACGCAGGGGACGTCACCCTTCTCAACGACGGAGGGTTAGACTGGTTCGTGCCATTATTCTGTCTGTGTGGGGAACTATTATGGACAGGTTGGCTCTGTACGATTCTTTGTTCTGAAACGGAATTACAGTATTGTATTACAAAACTACAGACTGTTTCAACGCAATTCGTTGAATTACTTATGTCTAGTTTTTTAGTGTTAAAATTCTTCAACAAATCTCACTGTATATTCTGTATTGAAAAAGTAAATCTTTTAAAAAACTGCCTATAAGTATTAGGAATTAAATTTAAAAATACCTTGGAGAGATTATTAAGATAGTGTGGCTGAATTGTCAGCAACTAAATAAAAAAATATATCTTAAAATTCCTAAAGGAAGATATTACTCATATGTAAATTTATTGTAATAATATGGGAATTATTTCGTTCTAAATCAATTCAATGCTACATTCTGGTATCCACATCAGTAATTAAGTTATTCTTGATTGCGAAGTATCTTGAGACATATTGTGGTACAATTAAATACATTTTTATAAGTATTTGACTGTTACTTTCTCTAAAAACCCCCATTAACATAAATAAAATATCTATTATTTCGAATGTCAGTGAAAGCAGAGGATATTTTCTAGGATATGCTATTTTGTTTACCTTAATGTGGAACTTGCATGAACAAAATAAATTCTGCGTTACATAATGAGAATGAAAGATATTTAAAAATTTTGTTCTTTGCTATTTAAATATAAAATATATATATGCTATTTACCTTCTTCGCATTTTTGATACGGTAAAGGAAGATATTCATATCGCCCGTTGTCCTGTATCACCTCGTAGTGTTCTTGTCGTAACAATTTTTGAGGACTCTGACTCAAAACACTATTGTCACATAACTCTGTTTCATCTTCCATAGGGATAATGGCGTACCTATGGACCTTTCCATTTCCTACGGGAACTTCTTCAACATCATATTGTTTCCTTTTAGGGGGTGAAGTGAATGATTTACTCCGTCTAATTTCCCGCCCTTTCATAGGAATATATTCGTAACGATTTTTTTGCAATGTCGAATTACTGTTAACGATATCATCATCTGTATAGCTCATTTGAGCGTAACTTCGTCGGTTGGCGGGAACATTTTGGCGGGATTGGAAATTATTGTTTACATTAACATTATTATCCGGCACTCTAACATATCTGTAACTTTGTCCATTTCCGTTTTTCACGTCAAGATGATTTGATACAACAACGACTTTTTTCTTCTTCACCAAACCGTTATCATCTACTGTCATTTCTTCGTAAAACTCCTGTTCTTCAAAATCTTCGTCGTTATCTTGTTTTGGAGATAATGTTGATATGTTGACATTATTATCTCCGTAACAGACGTATCTACCATTGCTCGTTGTAAGCTTCGTGCCACCGTTGATAGTAACCGGGACTTCTTGAAGTTCTCCTGGCGAATGCGCTCCAACAGGAGACTGTCGAAGGCTTCGCTGCGGGCTCAAAGCTCTTGGAGGACTCTTACTTGAAATATTAACGAATTCGCTCTGCTGACAAAACGCAGGGTTGCTGTAGTAATGATGTTGAAGAATGGGATAATTATTAGCCATTTTCTCAAATGCAGTATCCAGTACACTTTAGCAACATACAAATAATGCAGGATTAAAAAACACTCTAAAACACTCTGAGACCATTTTGTCCTTTCTTCATCTACTGAAAACTTTTTCACTGCTTCATTGATGTGTTTGGTGTCAGAATTCCCAGAAAGTTTTAACGCACTAATTTCACTTTGAATAACGACGCACAAAGAATCCTTCTGAAACTTTCGACGCACAAATGATGAAAAAATTGGCACAGACGAGGGCAATTCGTTTCAAAAGGTAAACTGGACTGTAATTATTAGTTAAAAGGGAAAAAGGATACAGTGATCGTTGATGTGCATCGGTGTGAGACTCCGTGCCAAGTAGTTTGTAACTAGCCAAAGGTGGAATTGGTTGTTGGTAGTCAGTCCGTTGGTTGGTTGATTGTAACGGTAGGTTAACGCTCCGAGGGAATAACAGCTGCATATGTCTAACGTCACACACGTGAACGAGGGGTAGATAACAGTGACGTACATTATAAGGGGAACAGACGCATAATTTCGTTTCTACATTACTTTTTATCAAGTTTAATTTGTCGTATATACTTCTAGTTTACTATTTCTACGATTAACTTAACATAAAAGAGTTTTAAAAAGGTTCCAACATTATAAAATAGTTTTGCATTTTGTTATATAGAATATTAATTATTATCCGCGACTTCATTCGCATGGAATTCAACAATATCACAAACTCCCATTTTACACATTTAGAGATTGTATTTTTTTATTTCATTTTACCATTGTAAACTTGAGAGCATATTTAGTGATAATTATTTCAATTGGTTTTTAACAATCTTTGAATTTAGAAAAAATATTTTTATTTATTGCACATAATCGACTGATAAATATACATTAGGATTACAATTAGATCAATATTTAGTTTTATCACCGTTTGCTGCAATACACGATAGACTCCAAATGTTTAGGGACCAAATCGTTCCAAATGGTCTCGATTTTGGCCATCCAATTGTCAATCTAGCGTTGTCTCTTTCTCAAGGATATGTTTCATGAGATTTTCGATAGGGTTGAAGTCTGGCGAACAAGCTGGTCACTTTATGACCTCAAATTCTTTGCCATCAAACCACTCTTTGTTTTCGATCAATACTATTGATAATTGTAAGGCATGTGATACAACAATCGATCGGTAATTTGATTCTCAATTTAAATGTGTGTTTTGTTTGCATGGTAATCACCTAGCATCAAATTAATCAATCAAAAACTAAGTGACATAATTTTATCGCTAAATCTGCTCCCAGCTATATAATGAACTTTTGTTCAAAATTTCAAGTTTCTTGACTCGGCGATTTAGTCGGTACTTTGATCGATACATCAAACTTTGAACCTTCTTTTCGCCACTTTAGGGGTTGAATTTTTAATAATCCTTTCTAAATGGTCTCTTACGTTGTCTAAGGAATTTCAGCATAAAATTTCAAGTCTCTACACCCAGAAATTGGACTAAGCATTGATATACTAGTCATTTTACATATAGATAACAAAATTATGATGATAAATTAAGAATTGTTCATGAAATGTGTTTCCACATCTTGTTTATTGTATGACTTTTCAGTTTGTCTTTTACTAGTCGTGCTAGTTGTTCAATTGGGCATATTGTTTCGTTATAGAGAATGTTAGTTTTGTTACAAGGAGTTTGTGAAGATATGGATAATAGATTAAAGTTTTACATTATAGGGAGCTTTAAGTCGAATATTCAAAATTGTATGATTTTTGCAAATTGCTAAGCATGCTTCATACCAATAAAACATATCTTGAAAATTATAATATTTTGTGCTATTTTATGAAGTACCTAAAGCTCAAGATCATATTCGATTTATTCAATCACTTTCGTTTATATCCGATAAAATTATTTTGTTATCTTGCAGTTTGAAGCGTATACGAATCTGATGTAATAACTTTTTCGACGCCACTGCTTGATTTATGTTAATGTACCTAAACTATAAAATGGGGAAAGCAGCAAGCATTTTAATTTTATTAGATGTCCCGCATGTGCTAGGGCACGAGGGGAACTAATAACGTGGCTTTAGACAGGAGTAAGAATGACTGTTCTAATACCAATGATGGGACTTTTGTTTGACGAAAGCTTTTAAACAAGTCTCCCTCACCCGCAGCTTTTAAACGCTGCATAAACATAGGAAAATGCGAAAACTAAACCCTGAAAAGAAGGGAGGATAATCAAAGATATAGACTTACCTAATTATAATTACTTACTAATATTAATTTACTAATGGAGTTTTACTGATGCAGCTTTCTATGTCTTTAAAACAAGTGAAGAAGTCGGGAGTATGTCAGGCAAGTACACGATGGAGAGTTTTCTTGCCAATTTCAACTTAATTTATTCAAGGATATCCAAAGTAATATTGTAATTGAAATTATCCAACAATACTAAATTTATCTACAAGGTTTTAAGACTTGTAAGTTTAATGTTAAAAATGGGTTCTAACTTGTAAGAAACAAATTTAGATAATGCACATATGGATAGATCTAAAACAGTGGAAAGACAATAAAAACCATGTTATGTATGTATAATGGTTGGGTGTCCTACAATTGTTAACTCGCCTTTTTTTCAAGCTAAATTAATCCTACAATCCTTCGTGAAAGCAGATCTTAAATAATCTTTCAATGAAAAGCATCGATAGAGCTGTCAAGCGAGCTTGAGATATTTAATTTCAAAGAAATTAGCTAGATTGATTGCAGCTCCATGATTCGCCTCAATTCGCAGCTTTATGCTATCAAATGCGTGAAGAGGAAAGCGAGGGAGGTATCCAAAACAGAGTGCACAGCTATCTCGTGCGGTCCAGTTAAATAATGTAAAGACAGATACCCAGAGAATTCATTTCATTTACTATTCACTAGTAGCATAAGACTATCGGCAAAAGGTAATTCTGCGCAAGCTTATCAGCATCAGATGAGGTGTAGCACTAAATTATTATACTGGAAAATTTTAGCGATTAAGTCGCAAAAATGCGTAAATTTATTTACCTCTTTTAAAGTTCTGCAACTCTGCACTGCATCTGTACACCAACCGCCCCCTGCTTCTTAGTAAACCCAAAATATATGTAACTGTGGTTTCTTATTGTAATTTTGCAAACTTATATAAAAGGCTAAATTGGGGTTTTTAATGCTATGTTATTTTAAGGCTGATATTAATGCTATTAGAAAGTATGGTAAATGTCTAGGTGACCCCCGATGGGGGTGGGGGTGGTGGGATTGAAAGAGGAGGTCTCCCCCACCGCTGTACCATAAAAAGTTCGTGGCGGTCTCACCCCCATAAAAAGTTATGGAGGTTGAAAGTTGATTATTTTGACAATTTTCATACACTATAATTCAAATAAAATTCAATAAAAAAAATTATTTTAAAAGAGGGTTGTCACTTGAACAAAATCCGATAACCTAACCTAACCTACCCAATTGATAAAGATATTTAAATAATGTTTTACATAACTTTCTCAATATTTTTATGTATTTTCCATTAGTTTTACCTTTGAATATTGTTTAAGAATGACTATATAAATATTTACCTACATGCCTAGAAATGTATAAAAATTGACATATTTATTAACTTTGACCCCCATAACTTTTTATGGGGGTGAGACCGCCACGAACTTTTTATGGTACAGTGGTGGGGGACACCCTTCGGGAGTGAGGGCCATCATCTAGACCTTTACCGAAAATACATTTGTTTTTCATTTGTGCGCAAAAAAATGAAAAAATAAAAAATTTGTACCAAAACATAATTGCTTCTTAATTAAAATATTATTTTTCCTTAGATAACTTTCCTATTACATAACGATTTACTTATTTTGCATCTCTATAAGCCATTTATAATTTCAATAACTATGAAGGAAGCGATCTACAATTTTAATGTTGTTTTTTTCGTATACATATTAAAGGAATAGTGACTTCTTCATATCTCAATGTGTTTGTTACCAAAATAAATAATAAAAAAATGCGTTTGGTTTATGGTAATTAAAAAGATGTACCAATCACTTAACTTTTTTTATACATAAAAAGGGAGCGCAAGCGGCACCTTTGTTACATTCTGCCTTTGGTCTTACGTATAATAAGTTGAGCTGCAGCAGCTGCAACGACGGACGACACGTGCCATTGATTGCTATCTCATGGGGGAGCTCAATGAACAGAATGGTTTTCGAACCAGCCGATGAAACAAAATAAGGGTGCTCTGTTTATATAAGAAGACGATTCACGGAAACGATGCGCTGTCTAAGACCAGAAATTTATTAAATTGAATCATACGTTAAGGGGAAAGGAGGAGGTCAACAAAGTGGGACATCGTGGGGATCCAAATATATTTATATATACGTTATATTTTACAAGACACATAAAGTACGCAAAAATACTTTATTTAAGGCCTTAAGTAAACATCGTAATTTTGTAAGCGATTATTCGAAATTCAGAGTATTTTTACATCAATAATATTGCACAGAAAAATGGCAAGCCATATTTACGGAACAACCTGATTTCCCAAATCTGTTCAAAGTAGTGTCACTTTTGCTGTCCGTTCCGGCCACTTCAGCATTTACAGAAAGAGTATTCTCTGTTATGAACGCAAAGTGGCGGGACGACAGGAATAAAGCTTCATTAAAACTAATTAAAAATGAACTTTTAGTTTACTTAAATCTTTGTTTGCCATGTTTAGAGGCTGTTAATGTATTTAAGAGCGACAGCAATTTGTTACTGGCTGCTAGGTGTAACAAAAAATATGTTTTTAAAAACAAAAAATAAAATACTTTATTTTAATGGTGCGTACTTTTTTTTTGAACCATTTGGTCGAGAAACACCTTATGTAAAGCCTGAAAAGGTGGCAACCCTAGATCCGAAGCTTCGTAATGTTAGATACATACATCTAAAGTATTCATTAATAATTTTGAAAATGTTTTTTAATTTAACAATTTTTAAGAATTGTAAAATATGTGACGTCAGACCTGGGGTGGGGGGCGACATACAAGCGAAATCACCTTTAACGAGGATGTTCGTATGTGTGACGTAATTTAAAGATGGACCCTTAGAACAGAGAGCGAATTCACTTTTATTTACTTACGATTTCATTGAAGAAGATCTTTCCAGGGGTACGCTAGTTTTTTTTTTTTTAGTTTTAAAAAATATTTAAATTAAAGAAAATTCATTAATATTTACATATTTCAGGTTTTAATAAAAAATAATAATATTTCAGTTAAAATCACAGTTTTGGCAAATTACACAGCCCAAGTGGCACTTACATGTCTAATCATTGATTTAACGTTAACACAAGCATTTAAATTATTAATAAATGCCCTGATCAATCTTTTATAAGCGTTTCTTTTACCAGAAAAATTAGCCTACAGCGTTTACATTTTCTTTCTATATTTAAAACTAAATAGTGAAACACAACATTTAAAGTATATGGTGAAGGAAAAAATAAAAAATATTGTATAATAACACAAGAAAAGGAAAGAATTGTTGCGTACGTACACATATCTGGTCAAATTGGGTTGCCTAACCTAAGAGATTTCAATGCTGCGTTAGGAAAGAAACCAAATCTAAAATGTAGTATTTCAGTGAAATTAACTTCTTTTCTTCCAATTCGAAGAACGATCAGAAGCATTTAAATGATTAATTTAATTTTAATTTATTGTGGGCTGATCATCCTAACATATAGTAAAAAAATCTAATAGAACAAATAGCCAACGACAAAATGATTAACTGAAAGTAGTCAATTATAAACGCACCTTAATGATCAAACAGAGGTGGTTTAATAAGTCTTTAGCTTTAGCTGTGATTTTTCTCACATATTGGAAAAATTTCACCAAATAATTAGCAAATTAATAATTTCAAATAATTATTTTTCTTCATAAAGTTGTTAGCTTTGAAAGTATTGATGTTTTGACTGCAAAAAACGCAAGACGCCTTCAGAAGCTGTTTTATTTAAATAGATACTGTTAACACTTGAAAAACTAACGTCGCATTCTTTAAATAAATTAGTCTTAAAAGGTGTCAAGTAATAATTAACAGAGGTTCATACTAGTTTCGTTTTATGAATCGTCTATATCTACTTATATACTCAGAATAATATGTTTTCAAATAATAAAAGAGTATAGGTACTGTTAGCAATTATACACTTAACTGTTAAATGATACCTACATATTTCTTTTTTGTATGGATTATTTACATTTGGTAAAAAACAGTAACTACTGTTATAATACCTGTTAAACTAGCATTAAATGAGTATGTATTTGTCATATATTTTACATAATTAGGTGAACTATTCGCGCATTGCTAAATGCAATAATTGTAATACAAATGCACGAGGAGGAACACGTGCAGGCATTTACTTTTAGAAAGGAGTTAAACAACAAATTTTTTACTTTTTATAATATTATATTTACATTATATTTGCAGTAATAAATTTTATCATACTATATGAGAATCATCATGAGATATCTTTTCTTAAAGTGGTTTTAGATTTAAATGGATAGTATATATTCTCAAAATTAAAGTATTTCAAGACATTCATTCAGTCTTAATCTAGGATTGTTTCTCCTTCGGTAAGGTGCACCATGGAGTTTTTTATCCGACGTTTCGCCAAGTACGGAAGTATAGTGATTGACATCCTCAGAGAACGTAGCGAGAGCATGAAGTCTTTCGTCATGATTGTACTGGATCATCTGGACAAAATAATCCAGTCTCAGTCAATTGATTAAAATCTCGGAAAGATACAGCTTGACAGCAAGTAAACAAAGTGTAGAATAAAAATTATTAATAAAAAATTCCCTCTAGAGAAGGAGAAATGAGAATATCCTGTAAAAAATGTCCTCAATAGATGGTGAAGATAATAACAGATGAATATGAATTATATTAATGAAACAGAGCTTAATAGCCGTCTTGGGTCATAAAATTCTCATCCTTTCATGATTATTCGACTATCAGCTAAGGTCTTTTAAAAAATTTTATATAAAGTGTATTATGTTAAGTTGTTGGATTATGTTTTTTTTTTTATGTTTTCGTGGAAGAGGGGAAATCTTCAAAAGACACCCAGCCGTCCGTACGACTGGGTAGTGTCGGATTCCCGAGGAAGGAGTCCTCGGACCTACCGACTAAAACCCCTCTACCTCAGGCCGTTTTAGGACCAATTAAGGTCCTCTTTAGCCGTAAAAATTTGTTGCTGTTCTCACACCCCCGCCGGGAATCGAACCCGGGCTCGCCTGTTAAGCGAGTTATCTATTAGAAATATTCAGAAATTAAGAAATTCTTGAAATCATGCCTGGATTTTGATAAGGGTGGACCCATTTTGGTTCTTTTCGGGCTATTTTCAAATAGAAATTATAGATGGTAGTAGTTAGTCAGACCGAATGAAATAAGTATTTATGAGTGAAAGAAAATCTATTAATTTGTTTTAATCAAATGGACGATGAGATGCAAAGTAACTAAATATGCATCAATAAATAAATGCCGCCATGGATGTCTGGATGTACAGCTTTTTCCATATGGAGGCAAAGGTGGCGAATGAAAATGCGATATTACCAGGTATGTGTCAAGTTTGAACTTGCTTCTGATTATCTTCAATTATTAAGCGCATGATTATACATTTCGAAGGACAAAGGTATCTTTCCGTATTTATTATTTTTTTTATCACTGTACGAAAAGTCAAGCAAAAAGATGGTGTTATTATGAAGCAATAACGGTGGACGGAAGGTCGTTTTCTTGGGAAAGTGTGACCGTTCTAGTAGATTTGCCTGGACCATTTTATATCTTCCTTTTCCATAACAAAGGACGTTGCATGAATGGCAACCAACTCAAGCGAAATTGTAGAGTTGGAAGGTGGGGATTTTAACATTCTTGCCGGCGTCAAGGTTCTTCATTCCTTTCGTTGTTGCATCGCGCGGAATAGACCAAATGCACTTATTCGTACTTATTTCTATTAAATAGAAATATATCATTACGTCACCTTCAAAAAGAAGTCATAAAATCATTTTACAAAGAGATAAGCTACACAATTTTGTTGAGAGATAGATACTTCATATTCTGAGTACCTTCTCTCATAGATTCAAATTATGTGAGTGTCTATCGATTTTTGTTGGTATTTAGTGTAAATATATCAATAGGTTTAAAAAGCCAGCTCTGTGCGAATGATTTCTGTTCTACCGTAATCGTATTGACTATTAGATAAAACATGTTTTATTATTTGGAAAATGAACACCGACGTTTCGCCTTTAGATACAAAGTTTAAAATGAGAAAGATCTGCATCCAAATGCGAAACGTCAGTTATGATTTTCCAAATAATAACAAACTTTTTAGCTTTTTTTTTTGTTTTTAATTGTACACAAAAATAATTATAGAACAAAGGAAAGAAATTAAAATTTTATTCATGTCTGGCTAATTCCTTACTCTAGTCTTCCAATCCTTGCAAAAATTTTGCATGCAGCAACACAGAAAATCCCTCTTCTACTACCGATTAATAAAAGCAAAAGGTACATCAAAATATGCTCAATGGGTTTCAAGTTTTACAGTACCAAATACCTTGTTTATTTATAATTATTATATAATAATACACGCATGCTTAGTTCTTAAGTCTGCTATTCTAATACAGGGACGTACCCAGTGTTTTCTTCTTATTGACCGAAGGTGGGCCACATTGTTGTAGTTTTTAAATTCCATTTCCTTAGCCAAAGATTCCATGAGTTTTCTAACAATGACAATATTATAAAATACCACAAATGGCGCGGTAAACGCTATCTAAAGTACAATGCTACATTTAGTGGAATTTATTATGCTCAACAAGGTCCATTTAAATAGACGGATATCCACTTGCTGAACTGAATCCAAAGCGTAGCTCACCACTGCGTGATAGGCACGTTACCAAAATCGAACAAACAAATTCGAAGTGGTCAGACGCAGATAGCGATTTCGATCTTTTTGGATCTCATCAGCGCGTCGCAGACAGTTTCGACAATTTTTTTACCTGCTGTCTTAACAGCCCGTTTTCTAAATTTATAATGACAATGTTAATATCTACATCACTGTTCTAATATATTGTCATCAATTCACACCTTTACCGTTTAATTTTGAGCGTTTACAGTCGAATCGGTATTTAGACAAGTAGTAAAAGAATTTTTAGCGGTGCATTTTGCCTCAGACCGCATTTCTCATTCTTTCCGTCTTGCTCTTTGTTGTCGGTTTCTTCGTCGAAAGGAGAAAGAAACGGTTGAACAGCAGACCTGAGAGCGCCTGGAGTTCGGTCGAAGACTCTCATGGTTCTCATGGCTCTAAGAGATCATTCGTGTAGTAAAAACCAGAATCCGCCGAGAGTGTAATTGTGATATTTTAACCGACCCAGTCGCGTACAGTTCCCTCGCAGACAAACGAAATAAACTGTTAACTATGCAGAATATTCCTCGGCTACGTGATCTTTGAGGATGTTGGCTACATAGCATGCAAAAAGTGTTATAAATAAACTGTGCAATAATAGAAAATTTACTTAAAGATTCAGTGAAATTTTGCGTTCAGTGTGTGAAAATGGATTTCTCATGAAAACCCATATCCAACGATAAGTGTTGTTGATAACAAAAACTTTTTATCTTCAGGGTACGTATGTAATTTAAAACAATATATTGTTTCTGTGAACCACGTTTGAACGTTTCTGGTAGATGACTTATGATCGGTAGAACGCTAGCGTACTAAGGAATTTCTCACATTGTGTATATGCTTATCAGATTTATTGAATAGGTACCTAATACTAAAATTTGATTCAAATATTTAAACAGGTACTTAAGTAAATTGAGTTACCCTGCACGACTTTTATAAAGAATTTACATTTGTGATTGACATACCTGGGCACAATTTCATTTTTTAATTCACCTCATATCAAATCTAATAACCGACTTTCACATCTATAACCGCAAATACAGAAGCTTTTTAATGCTGGTTACAGAAGATTCACAAAAAATTGATCACTGTTATATCGAATAACTCTTCTAGGAAGCAGAGATGCTTGACTTAATATAATCAAAATGATGATCTAAATTATAAATCTTATTACGTTAAAAATTTTTGAAAAAGTGCTTGATATAGACATTTCGCCAACCAAGGTAGCATTTTCCGAGGAGCAAACCAAATCAAGTTCGGTTTTGTCGTAATTGTAAAGTATTTAAAATACTCCACTCAAATATTCTTAGGGTATTTGTTATTGAATCTGAATTACTTTTCAATGAAGTATTTGATTATGCAAATACTTTTTCAAATGCTTGTGATATTTATTTATCTATAAATGATTTATAAACAACAGAACTGAACAGAATATATAGTTGTGTATAAATTGTTCAGAAAGTTGTTATGATAATTATAAAAATCACAAGTTACGCTTTAGAGTATTTTTGAAAATTACGTGTTTCCTTATTACATTACATAATACTTGCTTAAAATCATTTTTAAAAATGTAATTCAAAGGTATTCGTACTTCAAGTACACTATGAATACTTCTATTTGTATTTAAATATTTACACAAAACAAAGTATGTTATTTTATTATTTTTATAGTAAAACTTAGAAAAATCAAAGATTGTTCCATAAAATATAATGGTTTGTCAATTATTTTTCGTATAGTCAGTTGCTACATATGAAGACAAAATTACGTAAAAGAAAAAAGTTTGAGCAT